AAAATTAATTTCGTCTGATAAATTTAGGGAATATAAACATTTATAACTGGAGGCTAAGCTTAAAGTGCTTTCTCAGTTGACATTTATTCCTGCAATGATCTCATCAGTGGAGACAGGTGAACGATCAGTAAGTAAAATTCACATGATATAACAATTACTTCTGTTCCAGCAACTGCCTTAGTAATTATCATCCTGGCTGCTAACGAGCTGGCTGACCGGCTGCTCTGTCTACATAGCATTCTCCTGTAGTTCCCAAGTGCATCGATGAGCAGCCCAAAGGAAAAGCAACATTACGTCTCAGAGCAGTCTAGTGGACACAGTGGTCCATAGTATTAACAGTTTGCTTACATAGCCTTATTTGTAGTGTTAAATTGAGTAAAGTACTAAGGGTGCCATCTTATACTCTATAGCTTACAAAAGAAAAGTTATTTCCGGGCCTCAGCTTTGTCCTAAGTGCAGGTAGGTGTTCGTGGCACTGAAGACTCGCTGCTCTTCTGGAGGACTTGGGCCTCTTTCCAGCACCCCCATGGTTGGCTCACAATCCTTTGTAACTCCAGTCCCAGAGGATCCATTGCCCTCTCCTGGCCTTCCTGGGCACCAGGCACACACAGATATACATGCATACAGAACAGCTATACCTATAAAATAAAAGGAAAACAAAAGTATTAGGTACTAATATCTTGATGCATTTAAGTCCCTTTTAATATGGCATGCACCCTGGAACTACTTGGCTGATAATACCACAGAAAATTTGGATTATGAACCTTAGCCATTAACAAAGCAGATTTAGCCAACTCATTTTAAAACCGCCTATTTCTGTAAGTTAACCCTGGTATGGGCTCTAAGAATACTAAGTATGAATTCCGTTATTCTTCAAGAATGTAGAGTTAAATTTCTAGTACCTAAAAGCTCTCTAATAAGAACTGATAATTTCCATTTTCATCGTTGCTATTTTAGATATGTGGGTTTTCAGATTTGGTTTGGTGATTGGGGGTTTGTTTCTCTTTAAGCGTGTAGCCCTTGATCCTCTGTAGCTAAGGATGACCTTGATCTCCTGAGGTTGATGGGTGCACCACCCTGCCCTGGATGCTTTTCCCATGTTTTATAGAAGGAAAACACCGCTGGCTCACACCTTTAATCTCAGCACTTGGAGGGCAGGGGTTGATGGATCTCTGAGCTCAGGGTAGCCTGGAGGCATCGAGGGCTGGCTACACAGCCCTTTAAAAAAAAAGGAAGGGAGGAAGAAGGAGGAGGAAAACACCAGGATCTCTGTAGTCAGCATATTTGGGGTAAGAACATGCTAACTAGGAATTTTTTTTTAAATCTAGGTAGTATTTACATTACTAATTAACATTTACTTATATAATTTGATTGACTTTTAATCTTTACTGTTAATTTGAACTTTTGTGATTTATTCTAAAATGTTACCTTTGAGTCACGCCTTACTGGCTGTAGATTTGGGATTGGAAAAAACACAAAGCACATAAATATCTGTGTCACCGTTGCCAAGTAGAATGTGTGTCTTCCCTAAGTGAGGCATCTTGCTTTATTGGCAAAATGATTAAATCACTTTTCTGCTGATACACCGTCACTCCTCCCCTTTCCTGAGCTCAATTTCTCTTATAATCTTCCAGCATAAATTAGAGCTGGGTGGGAGTGTGTTCTAATGCTTGGATTCATGGGTTCAATCCTGGTTCTTCATGCTTTCTGTCTCCCCAGTGTGATCATTCTTAGTCCCATCTTCTGTACCCAGAGAAAGTTTGTATCCTTCTAAATTCTTTGTGAATGCACAGGGCTGTTTTTCTTTTATGCTGTTTTCAAGACACCCCTCCTCTATTTTTGTATGCATTTTTTTTCTTTTGCTACTGAGGCAGCATTCTACCACTGATCTCTATCCCCAGCCCTTTTTTTTTTTTTTTTTTAATTTGAGATAGTCTTGCCAAGTTTCCCAGGTTGGCCTTGAATTCACTGTGTAGTCCACACAGCCTTGAGCTTTAGGTCTTGTCTCAGCCTCCAAAGTAGATGAGATTCAGGCTTGTACTAACAGGCTGCCTCACTGAGAAATCTTGAGACTGGGCAGGGCTGTCCATCCAAGGCATGCACTTGAGGATTTTTTCTCCACAGTGATGCCATACCACTGCATAGCATAAGCCTAAGTACCTTGGGTGGAGTTTGCACCAGAGTTCACCTGTTAGCTCTGAAGTGCATGTGCCGTTCTGAGGCTGGTCCTCACACTACAATCATCCCAGTGTACGGGGCCTGCTCCCTGCTGGCTTCTTCCAGCCCACCAAAGGCTTTAGTTACCCAGGGAACTTTGAGACTGACCTACCTCTGCAAATCACTCTGCCTTTACATACACACACACAAAGCTTAACCAACTGAAATAAATAAATAGAAGCTTTGTGTTTTCTCTGTCTCTCTTTTTGTGTGTTCACACATGCACCTCCCCAGCACTGGGATTAGAAACATTTACCACCATGCCTAGCTTTTGACCTGGACCCTGGGGCCATTTATTAACTGAACTATTGTCCCTATTTTCAGTGCAATGATAACTTTATACAAATGGTTAGTACCAGGATGGGATTCATAGGAGAGAACTTCTTTTAGTAGTTCTATTAAGTAGAACGATTTTTATAGGTACTCCCATAGTACCAATGGAAGAGAACTACTTTTCAACTTTTATTGAGATTCATTAATTATACGCAATACTGGCTTTCATTATAACATTTCGTACATGTCTATGATACACTTTAGATCATTTCAAGCCACTGTTATCATATCCTATTCACCCTCTATAGTAAGAATTTTTTAATTTTGGCTTCTTTTAAAACACAAATGTTTTTGGTTTAATCCCAAGTGTGGGGATATGGAGTTGCTTCACAGCAGCTGACTATGATTTGCCTTGTGCTCTAGCAGAGGCATGATTTTGCCAGCTGCAGGTATTTTTTGTGATTGATGTTTGGAATTCTGGGGAATTTTCAAAGGATATGTAAATGCTAGGCCCCTGAGAGGCAGGTTAGGTTGTTTGTTGGTTGTTAATTCCTATTAGTCACAGTTAGTTAAGTAATCATGTGCAAAAAAGAAATTAGATATCCTGATGGTGAAGATCAAACTTGTCCCAAGGAACTAATCAGCAGGAAGTAATCTAACAATGACATAGCCCCCTTCCCAACCCCTGACTTTATTCAGGGATCTCTTTCCTTTCCTCTCTATTCTTTTTTCTCTCATATCTAGTGTTAGGGAGTTAAAAGGGTGGAGAATAGTGGAAGAAAGAAGAACCCACAAAATATCAACCCTCTCACTGCTCCCTCTCCTCTACCTTCGGGCTCTCATACTTTCGTATATTATCTCCAGGCCTTTTTTTTTTTTTTTTTTAATTTTTATTACATGTTGTCTTAGTTGGGGATACTATTGCTGTGATGAAGCACCATGTCTAAAGCAACTTGGGGAGGAAAGGCTTTCTTTGGCTTTTACTTGTGTACTACTGTTCATCATTGAAGGAAGAAGTCAGGACAGAAACTTAAACAAGGCAGAAACCTGTAGGCAGAAGATGATGTAGAGGCCATAGAGGGGTGCTGCTTACTGGCTTGCTCAGCTTGCTTCCTTGTAGAACCCAAGACCACCAGGCCAGGGATGGTCCACCCACAATGAGTTGGGTCCTCACCATCAATCCCTTCTTAAGAAAATGCATTATAGCCAAATCTTATGGAGACATTGTTTCGATTTAAGTTTCTTTTTAGATAGCTCTAGCTTATGTCAGGTTGACAGAAAATTAATGTGTGTGTGCATGCATACACACAACCATACAACCTGCCGGGTTCATTTAGTGTTGCTCACATGTATACATTTTACTCATATATACACTTGATATTGGATAACCAATTAGGAGGCAATCCTTGGAGAAGGCTTGGTCCTCCTACTCTGAGCAATCATTGCTTGTGGCTCTTCATTTAGGGGTGGAACTTTATGAGAGATTTTCTCCCATTTGAGTTGAATGTCAACTGGTGTCATTATTTAGGTCTTGTTTAGGTAACCATAGTGTTGCAATTTCATGGATGGAACTTCTCTGTCACACACAGAAGATACTGTCCCACATCAATTGTCTTAATCCTCTGGGTTTTAATAATTTTTCTGCCCCCTCTTCAGTCGTGTGTCCTGGGTTGTATTGCAAATGTACCTTTTGGCAGCGGGCACCCAAGCTTAGTTGTTGTCTGGTTTTTGTAATGGTCTCCATCTGCCTCATAGAGAAGCTTCTTTGATGAGGAGTGAGGCTGCCTCCACTGCTGGTCTGTGTGAGGGTATTTAACACTGGGGGATGCACATGACAAGGTCCTGGCACCTTGGTTTTATCTGAATAAGAGGTATTTTACTTTTTATGTTAAAAATTGGAGTATATTATACATGTTAATTTCTAGGACACCTAATGTAAGATGAAATGAAGATTCAAAAAAAATAGTTTACTGGTGTCAGCGCTGAGTGTATTTACTTTTCTTGTCAAACCTACTTCAGTGTGTAGCTGTAAAGCAGCAGCACAGGGTGAGAAGGGGGAGACTGGTGCTCCCATTCCCTTTCTTCACCAGTGCTTTCCAGATTTCTCAATTGCTAGAGAATCTGCCCTGTAATGAGTGTGCCGAGGACTTGTTACCTGCCAAGTGCAGTGTACTTCATGAAATTGTCTTACTGTGCTTTAATTAATCAAAGACAAAGGAACTGTGTGTTAGTTTCTGGTCAGTCCAGGCTAACCAGGAAGAAAACCTACTTGGGAAATTAATGTGTTACATGAAGCTTCCAGAGAGACTGAAGATGGTTTATAGACCAATTTAAAAATTGTCTGAGAGCCTGAAAGTTCCTGAGAGTCCTGGAACAACCAGAGTTTGCTGTTCTAAGTTCCTGCCAGAGACCTGATACCTTGGAACCTTAAATGTAGTTTTCAGGTGGCTAAGACAGAAATGCCTGTTTCCAAAGGTTGGGTTGATAACCTTTTTCTTTTTTGCCTATAGATTGAATATGAAAGAAAGAAGAAAGAAGATGGAAAGCGGGCTCGGGCAGACAAACAACACGTCCTGGACATGCTGTTTTCAGCTTTTGAGAAACATCAGTACTATAATCTTAAGGACTTGGTCGATATCACAAAGCAGCCTGTGGTATGTATGCATTTATACTGACTCTTAAGTAGACCCTACTTCATTAGCATGAGATTAGGGAGAAGAAGCATGATTAAGTTCAAATCCACTCCGCTAATGACAGTGTCAACACTCAGGAAACAAGTCTTAATTAATGCAGCTTTGTCTTTCAAACATCCACTTCATTACTTTATATTTAAAATACATTTGAGAGCCATTGAAATGGCTCGCTCTGTAAAGGTACTCATAAATGTCTGATGATTCCCCAGAACCCACTGAGGAAGAAGAGAACCCACTCCTGAAAAGTTGTCTTCTGACTGCTACACACACAGCAAGGCACTTGTGTGTGAAAGCGTGTTTGCAAACACAATCATAAAATCTTAGGGCCTAGAGAGATGGCTCAGTGGTTAAGAGACTACTCTTCTAGAGGACTCAGGTTTGATTCCTTGCACCCACATGGTGGCTGGCAACCATCTGTAACTTTAGATCAAGGAAATCCTACATTGCCTCTGGCCTCTGCAGGCACTAGGCATAACATGGGGTGCAGATATACATGCAGACAAAACATCCGTACACATAAAATTAGTAATAGTTATAAAATTAAAAATGCATTTAACAGAAATAATTTTATATGAAGAAAAGCAATCAGTATTCTTGACATTAGTCTGAGACCTGCTAAGCATACATTCTTGTTCATTTCTGATAGAGTTCATGCTGTAGTGTTAGCGACTCAGCTAATGACTTAGTTCCCTTTGGCACCACAGCCTGAGACACAGCATCCATGCTAGATTAAAATATTTTTAACAGAATAATTTATTATCAGGCTGGGTTTCTTCTGGGTTTAATGAAGTTTATCTTTGTTATTTTATATGTAAATATGCCTACATGAAAAGGCCATCCCAAACACACACAGAGCAGATAAGGTATTCCTACAGAATAAAATATACCCTGTTAGACATAGGGAAATAAACCAAGTATAGGGATAGTCCAGTAACGCTAGGGAAGCAGGTTCTTGCTCTTAACATGGGCTGTTAGGTTTGTTTGTTTTGCATCTAAGGAAAGGGATTATTAACATGTCTGTCTGGAGTAGATGTAGCAACACATCTTTATAATCTTAGTACTCAGAGGCTCCGGTAGGAAGATCCCAAGCTCAAGGCCAGTGTGAACTATATAATGCATATGTACTCTGTCTCCAAAAGCTCCCCTTCAGTTCAGTTTTGGGTTTGTTGTTGTTTTGTCTCTTGTTCTTGTTTGTTTTGCATTTCACTCTTTGTATATGGGTGTTTTGCCTGCATGTGGGTCTGTGCCTGGGGAGTATAGAAAAGGGTATTGGATGCTGGAAATTGAACCCAGCCTCTGAAAGAGTAACCAGTGCTTTTAACACTGAGCTACCTCACCAGCCTGGCCAGATAGTTGTATGTTGTGAGACCTAGTGAATCTCTTGCTCTAGGTCTTCTTCAGTAGTGATCTGGGGTGGCCCTCAGGAGACCTACTAACTTAATGAGTGTGTGTGGACATCGTTAGATTTTCCAGAGAACACATGAGTAGCTTTTATCAAATTCTCCTGGTGGACCGCTGATGGCAGAAGAGAAGTCTGATGTTTAACAACAGAGTCATTGAGAAGTTGCACCTCCTCAGCTGCCAGATCCTTTTTCAGAGGCACAGTCTTGTCATGTACTACTGAAACTTGTTCCCCAGGCTAGCCTCAAGCTCCTTTTTCTCCCCCATCTGCCTTCTAAGGGCAGATTTGTGCCATCTCTTGCACCTTCAAGCAATACCAAGTCTCCAAGCCAGTACCAAAAAATAAAAATAAAAAATCAATACCAGATCTGGCCCACAACAAATCCTCTGCAGTATTGGCAGTACCAATGCTGTCTGCATGCTGACATTTATAATGCCATTGTTTTCACACACACACAAACACTCACACACCACCTGCCTTTCCTTCTCTCCTTTCTCTCCTCTCTCCATCTCTGACATCCCAGCCTGTGGTGGTTTGAATAAACATATTCCCCATACACTCATGTGTGTGAATACTTGAGAGTACGCTAGTAGGTCTAGCTTTGTTGTAGTAGGTGGGGCCTTGTTGGAGGGAGTGTGAATATTTTCCTTTTTTCTGTTATTTTTTTCTTGCTAAAAACATTCACTTCTGAAAGCAAGCTTACTCATCACAGAAACTACCCTATTCACTTATATAGCTTATGCAGGCAGCCATAACAGTAGAAGTTTCTCAAAGACAAGCCAGTTTGAAAAAGCTAAGCCAGGAATATGATATCCATATTACGGAATGTTTGTATTTTAGCTTTTTCTACTCTATGTAAATATGAAACATTGGAGGCTAGAAAGATGGTTTAGTGGTTAGGGCTCCGGCTGTTCTTCCGGAGGAATAGGATTCAATTCCCAGTATCACATGACAAAGCATGACCGTCTGGCATGTACTGCCCTTGTCTGGCTTTCATGGGCACAAGGTATGCATGTAGTGCACAGAAAGCCAGGCAGACAGGCAGGCACAATATTCATATAAATGAAATAAAAATAATTTAAATGTAATAATAAAAATAAAATATAAAACATCATAGGAGTCCTCTTACTCCCTTCCCTCCAGCACTTGATGCTGTTTAATGTTTACTCTGTTTTATCTAGTCTTCCTCCTTCTATAAAATAGAAGCATGCATTACATTTTTTTTTTTTAAGGAACTACAAGCTATTGTAAAGTTTAAATACTACCGTTTGAAACATGAAGCTGCCAAGGAAACCCTGAGACCTGACACATGCTTCCAGTATCTCCCCTTTCCCAATGTACATTTGTATTAATGCCATAGAAAACTTGCTGTGATTACAGCTGAAACACGTCATTTTCTTGAGCTTTAGCCTCCCAAGTGTATGCATTATTTTGTACATGTGGGTGTACATATAGAAGTCAGAGGATAGCTTGGGAGAATTAGTTCTGGCTGCCGTGTAGGTTCCATGGATCAAACTCAAGCCATGAGGCTTGGCTACAGTACCTCTACCAGTGAGCCCTCACCAGCTCCTCAGTGCACCTTACCAAGATCTTATAAGTGACACTGACACCCAGGTTGCTCAAGCCAGACAGAAATCCCTATTTCTTCTTCATGCTGTGAACTGCAAACCCTGGCCTGTAGGCCTCCCAGTTGGGTTCATAAAGTAAAAGGTAGCATAGAGACAGTTGTTTTCTACCTCACACGGCCAGGGCTGGGGCTTGGACACAGTTGTCCTGATTTCAGCTGAGGAAAGTCATTATCATGTCCTGATGTTTATTCCATCACATAGATAGATCTATGGACAAGCAAGGAAATTTTCTGGCAGTGAAATACCTTTTTAATGAGGAAGGCGAATGTATTTTTCTCACAATACGATCCCTTTCTGCTTTTTATGTAGTGTCATTGTGGTCAGATGTGCAGAAGACAGAGCACAAATTTGATGTTTGCTAGTTCAGCTCCTAATTCCAAAGGAAAGTGGGAACTTAAGATATTTGAAGCTTATTCTAAAATGCTGTCTAATAATTGCTGCTGTGTTATACTACTGTACTCTGAAGTGTCTCTTTTTTTTCATCTGATTCCTTTTTCTCTGATTTTAAAAGTTTTCAGTTCACATTCCCTTCAGTTCTTGAATTAAGTATCAATACTAAATTTTCCGATAGGGTATATTAATTAATGATAGTCCTTTTTTGAGAATAGTTATTTCTGATTCACAAAGAGAAATCTTAACTTTAAAATAAGAAATGTACTAAGATAAATAACTGAATATAAGTAGGTAAAATTTAAATACATTTACAAAACTTTAATGTTTTTATTGTAGAGGTTTTTTGTTTTTACTTTTTATTTTACCATTATTATTGTGGTAGAAATATAGACAATTTATTAAGGAAGAGAAGCACACTATTAAAAAATGGAAGCAGCTAGAATACCAGGACAGCTCTAAGACCTAAAAAAAAACCAACATTTAAATGGTGTTGTTTTAAGACAGGATGGTCAAGAACTGGCGGAGGCCAGTGCTGACCTGGAACTCTTGATTCTGGAGATTGGACCCCTCAGCTCTGTCTATCCTGGTCCTGTTTTCACGTTTGCTTTGAGGCTTGCTCACACTTGGCTGCCCAGGCTGTCTTTGACCTGGAGCTGTAGCTCGTCCGCCCTTGACCTTGATGCCCTCTTGTCTGTCCTTCCTGAGGTCAGGGCTTACAGGCCTGCCCAGGCCCTTAGCATGCCCAGCTTCTCATCATTTCCATTTTCAATGTTGTGGGTGTTTTGTTTTCCTCACCTCATTTATAAATGAGGTCATATTTTAAGATAAATTTAGTAACATGCCCAAACATCTCAAGCTTATATAGAAGATGCTACACGGGTGATAGTTTCAGGGACAGATGTTCAGGAAACAAAATTATGTGTTATTTGTGTGCAAAATACAGAAGGACTTTTTCTCCAAGTGGTAACCCAGAAAATTTGTCTTTAATATAAAGAACATTAGTAGGAAGTGTGTGTCCATACCCGCAGAGGAGAAGAGAGGGGATCTGATCCCTTGGGCCTGAAGTTCAGGTGGTTGTAAACTTCCTAGTGTAAGCGGGGAACTGAGCTTGGCTGCTCCGGAAGAGCAGCCAGGGCTCTGACTGCTGAGCCGCCTCTCCAGCCTCTGCACTCAGTTTTGAAGAGAGGTAGAGGAAAACTGTGAGATTATTGACTTCCTGCTGCTGTTTTTTAGTTCTTCAACAAGCTGCCGTGTTTTCAGGGTTGCCATCTATGTGAAAACAGTTTTCTTCAAGAAAGCATCTTGTTTATGTTGGACTCTGTTCAAGAAGCATTAGCCGCAATAAGAGGAAACAGCCAGGACCTCTACATCTGGGACCTCCCAGACTTACCTTAGCTGCCTGAGCCAGTCTATTACAGCATCAGTCAGTCAGCCTTTCTTTCCAGAATGGAACCCTCAGTAATCATTGCTGTGAGTAACATGGAGAGCCTTTACCTTTATGGCTGGAAAAGTAATATTTTTCACTGTGTAGCCCAGGC